CCCACCCCCACCCCACCCCACCCCTCTTCTAGCTCCTTCACCTCCCGGGAAGTTTTCCTGGCCTATTATCACCCCCATCAAAATCCCTGATTAAAATCAACACTGTCCTCACCCAGACCCCTGAATCACAAGTCTGCAGGTGTGTGCATGTGAACATTCGGAATCTCCCAGGGGATGCTGACAGAGGAGACTCCTAGAACCCCTGTTGTAAAGGTTCACATGAGCCCACGGTATAGAGGGCACCCGGACTGGCCAACAGATGAGCTTATCAGTACGTTACTTGCCCCAGTCGGGCAAACGTGCCCCTTCCCAAGTCTCACCTGAGGAGTCTGCCAAAGTGCAAATTGTGAGGCTTTCCCCCGCGGTTTCCGATTTGGAATATGTGGGTGCAGTGGAGGAATCTGCAGTTTTTTTTTTCCTTTGGCCGCACCGCGCTGCTTGTGGGATCTTAGTTCCCCAACCAGGGATCAACCCGGGCCCAAAGCGCGGAGTCCTAACCACTGGACCGCCAGGGAATTCCCAGGAATCTTCATTTTTATAGATATTAACCCCGTGTACAGGGAAGACAGAAGATTGTGAAGTTAAAGGAAACAACGCCTTCGCTCGCTCCGCTGCGGCCCGGGGCCGCGTCTGTGTAGCCAGGTCACGCCGTGACCAATTACATGCATTTACTCCTGGCCCGGAAGCCCACCCGCAGTTTGACTCGCGGTGTTGGCGGGCGGGCGCCCGGGGCAGGTGAAGGGACACCGAAGGCTGTACTAGGTACAGCTGGGCCGGCGGCGCCAGGCGTGCTGCCCACGGGAGGGGCAGGGCCGGGACACGGGAGGGGGCGGGGCCTGCCCACGAGAGGGGCGGGGTCTGCTCGCAGCCTCGTTCAGGCTCGCCAATCCGCGGGCTCGTAGCATCCGCGGTCCCCGCCTTCCGCCGCCCCGGGGAGAACGCCGCGTTTCTATAGGCCGGCCGAGGCTCTTTCCGGCCAGACGCTGGGCATCGCTCGGTGGCGGGAAAGCGGCGGCTGCCGCGCGTCTTCCCGGACGCTGAGTGGCCGGAGGCGGCGGCGAGTCGCGGGCTGGCCGCGGGCCCCAGCATGGACGCGGCCGAGGTGGAGTTTCTGGCCGAGAAGGAGCTGGTCACCATTATCCCGAACTTCAGTCTGGACAAGATCTACCTCATCGGGGTGAGACCCGCCGGGCCTCCGGCTCTCCCTGGTCGATTCCCGCTTCCGGGAGGGGGGCTGGGCGGCGGGTCCAGCGCCCACAGGTGTCGTCGGGCGGCGTTTGGGACCCAGCGCAGATGAGCGGTGGGGCGCGGTGTGGCCGAGAGCGCGCTCGGGCTTCAGCCCGTGGACAGCAGAGGTCCAGCCATGCGGTTTTGAGGGACGGTGTGTGTGTGTGTTTGCTTGCAGGGCGACCTGGGGCCTTTCAACCCCGGCTTACCAGTGCAGGTGCCTCTGTGGCTGGCGATCAACCTGAAACAGAGACAGAAGTGTCGGCTGCTCCCCCCCGAGTGGATGGACGTGGGTGAGGACGTGGAGGGGGAGCGGGGTGTGGTGGTGGGGGGCAGGCCGTGGAGGCCGGGGTAGCCCTCCCGCGGGTGGAGGCAAGCGGTCCTTCCACGGACGCGGCGTCGCTCATCAGGTGAAATCAGTGAATGCTTCCCGGCCTCACCTGCGAGAGGCCGCGGACCACTGTTAGTAATGGTCGTTTGGGGTGTGTGTACAAACTCTAGTTCAGGTTTTGATTTTAAGATATTTCCACACACTTTTTAATTTTATTTTAATTCTAGTTTTATGTTGCGGTATAGTTGATTAACAGTGTTGTGGTAGTTTCAGGCGTTCAGCAAAGTGATTCAGGTACATATGCATGTAGCCTTTTTCAAATTGTTTTCCCACTTTGGTTATTACAGAATAGTGAGCAGAGTTCCCTGTGCTGTACAGTAGGTCCTTATTGATTATCTTTTTTTCCCTCCCCTCCCCCCCCATTATCTGTTTTAAATATCACAGTGTGTATATGTCAACCCCAAACTACCAGTTTATCCCTCCCCTCCACCTTTCCCCTTTGGTCACCGTAAGTTTGTTTTCTAAGTCTGTGAGTCTGTTTACGTTTTGTAAATAAGTTCATTTGTATCATTTTTTTTAAGATTCCGCATATAAATGTTATCATATATTTGTCTTTCTGTGTCTGACTTACCTCACTTAGTATGATAATCTCCAGGTCCATCCATGTTGCTCCAAGTGGCATTCTTTCTTTCTTTTTTAATGGCTGAGTAATATTCCATTGTGTATATGTACCACATCTTTATCCACTCCTCTGTCGATGGACATTTAGGTGGCTTCCATGTCTGGGCTGTTGTAAACAGGGCTGCAGTGAACATTGGGGTGCGTGGATCTTTTCGCATTAAGTTTTGTCCCAGTATATGGCCAGTAGTGGGACTGCTGGATCGTGCGGTAATGCTATTTTTGGTTTTCTGAGGAACCTCCATACTGTTCTCCATAGTGGCTGTATCAATTTACATTCCCACCAATAGTGCAAGAGGGTTCCCTTTTCTCCACACCGTCTCCAGTATTTATTGTTGGTAGGTTTTTTGATGGTGGCCATTCTGACTGGTGTGAGGTAATATCTCATTGTAGTTTTGATGTGCATTTCTCTAATGATTAGAGATGTTGAGCATCTTCTCATGTGCCTGTGGACGTGTGTATGTTTTCTTTGGAAAAAAGGCTGTTTAGGTTTCCTGTCTTTTTTTTTTTTTTTTTTTGCGGTACGCCGGCCTCTCACTGTTGTGGCCTCTCCCATTGCGGAACCCAGGCTCCAGACGCGCAGGCCCAGCGGCCATGGCTCACGGGCCCAGCCGCTCCGCAGCATGTGGGATCCTCCCGGACCGGGGCACGATCCCGTGTCCCCTGCATCGGCAGGCGGACGCTTAACCCCCGTGCCACCAGGGAAGCCCACCTGTCTGTTTTTTGATGGGGTTGTTTTTTTGTTTTTTTTTTTTTTTTTTTTTTTTTTTTTTTGATATTGACCTGCATGAGATCTTTCTAAATTTGGGAGATTAATCTTTTGTTGGTCACATCATTTGCCAATATTTCTTCCCATTCTGTGGGTTGTTTTTTCATTTTGTGTATAGTTTGCTGTGCAGAAGCTTTTGAGTTTAAAGAGGTCCCGTTTGTTTTTGTTTTTAAGTTTTATTTTATATTGGAGTATAGTTGATTAACAATGTTGTGTTTGGGACTTCGCTGGTGGCACAGTGGTTAAGAATCCGCCTGCCAGTGCAGGGGGCACTGGTTTGAGCCCTGATCCGGGAAGATCCCACATACTGCGGAGTACCTAAGCCTGTGTGCCACAACTACTGAGCCTGCATTCTAGAGCCCTCAAGCTACAATTCCTGAGCCCGCGTGCCACAACTACTGAAGCCCATGCGCCTAGAGCCCGTGCTCTGCAACAAGAGAAACCACCGCAATGAGAAGCTGGCGCGCAGTAACAAAGACCCAACGCAGCCAAATAAATAAATAAAACAATGTTGTGTTAGTTCCAGGTGTACAGAAAAGTGACTCAGTTATACGTATACATGTATCTATTCTTTTTCACATTCTTTTCCCATTTAGATTACTAGGATATTGAGCAGAGTTCCATGTGCTATACAGTAGGTGCTCGTTGGGTATCTACTTTAGATGTGGTAGAGTGTGTACGTGTCAGTTCCAAACTCCAAATTTATCCCTCCTCTCTGTCTCTCCCCTTTAGTAACCATACGTTTGTTTTCTAAGTCTGTGAGTCTGTTTCTGTTTTGTAAATAAGTTCATTTCTCTCTTTTTTTAGATTCTTCATATAAGCGATGTCGTATGATATTTGTCTTTCTCTGTCTGGCTTACTTTATTTAGTATGTTAATCACCAGGTTCATCCATGTTGCTACAAATGGCATTATTTCATTTTTAAAAATTTTTAAATTTTTTTTTATTGAAGCATAGGTGATTTTTTTTAACATCTTTATTGGAGTAGAATTGCTTTACAATGGTGTGTTAGTTTCTGCTGTATAACAAAGTGAATCAGCAATACATATACATATATCCCCATATCTACTCCCTCTTGCATTTCCCTCCCACCCTCCCTATCCCACCCGTCTAGGAGGTCACAAAGCACCGAGCTGATCTCCCTGTGCTAGCATGGGTGATTTACAATGTTGTACTAATCTCTGCTGTACAGCAAAGTGACTCACATATGTACACATATATACATTCCTTTTTTTTCTTTTTTTCCTAAAGAGTGGTGCGTTAGATCATTTATTTGTGGCAAGACAGACATTTCCATAGTGCATTTTTTCCCATAATAGAAGCTTTAAATATTCCCTGATTTTCCTTAGAAATTTAATTTTTGCTGGAAGTGGACTAGATTTTTCAAGATTTTTAAAAAAATTTTAATTTTGTTTATTGAAGTATATTTGATTTACAGTGTTGTGCCACTGTTTGCTGTACAGCAAAGTGACTCATTTATACACATACATTCATTTTTTATATTCTTTTCAGTTATGCTTTATCCAAGGATATTGAATATAGTTCACTGTGCTGTATAGTAGGACCTTGCTGTTTATCCATTCTCTGTATAATAGTTTACATCTGCTAACCTCAACCTCCCAGTTGATCCCTCTCCCCCACCGCCCTCCCCCTTGGCAACCACAGGTATGACCTCTTATGTCTGTGAGTCTGTTTCTGTTTTGTAGGTAGGTTCATTTGTGCCCTATTTTATTTTATTTTAATTTTTTTTTTTTTTTGCGGTACGCGGGCCTCTCACTGTTGTGGCCTCTC